CCCCAAAACCCCAAAACCCCAAAACCCCAAAACCCCAAACAGAAAAATAATGGGAATCAAGGAATTTATAAATTACTGTTTATTCAATATGAATAATATTAATAGTTTAAAATGAAAGAAAACATTAGTAGTTCTTAAATGGGAACAGTCAACTCCAAAATCTCTGTTGTATTGGTGACATTGTTCTCTACCTTAAGCTTTTCCAATGCCTCTATCTTTGAACAATATGCAAAAACCTTCAAAAATAGAAATGATGTACTTGGAGATTTAGCTAAGATTTATGATCAGTTTAATTAGATCGCTAATCCTGATCAGAGCTTATCTTAATTTAGTGATATGCATGGGGAAAAGGTTTAAGAACATTCAATTAAGCTCTAACATTCTGGGCATTAGGACTCTGATGAAACTGTAAGTAATGTTAACTTTGATACAATAATTGAACCTGTACTTGTGGAAGATTAAACTAATGAAGATCCAGACAGTCTTCAAATTGAAAGACTAGAGGATCCAGTTTTTTCAACTAAAAGAGGGCATGATCATCTATCTGATGATCCTAAATTATTGGATAGTAGAACTCTCATATGGGGAATCTTAACTTAGCCTCTTATCGGGATATTAAAATCAATTGACGATGATTCAGTAGCTAATTTTACTGAATTTGTACCTGCAGCTCATGTTAAATTCATTGAGCAAACTGGCGCTAAGGTAATACCTGTCAGTTATCACATGGAGAGAGAAAGCATGTATTAACTTTTGAATCAAATAAATGGCCTCTACATTCCAGGAGATACTCAAGACCTTCTTGATCATCATGAATATTAAGTAGCCTTTGGCCATATTGTTACTTATATGTTCTAAGTAGGCCACGATAAAAATCACTACTTCCCAGTTTTTATGATGGGTAATTCGCTTTAGTCATTCTTAGCAAACAGAATCAATGCAAACCCAATAACAAAATCAATGCAAATCAATCAAAATATGGAACTCAGACTTGTTAGAGAGACAGATAAAACATACATCTTTGATGAAATAACTTCAGAAGATTAAGTTGATGAATTCATTGAATCAGCCAAAGTCTTTAATAGACAAAGACTCGGGTTAAAGGTTAGAGATTTTAACAAAGAAAGCAGAATAAACAAGAGACTTAATATCGTGGCAACATTTAAAAACCCAATCATTCCTTATTCTAGCAGCCACTCAATAGCTGATGAAGATGAAACCATTGCAATTATTGAAAGCCCAGATTTCCCGCTTTACTTTATAACTTACGACGTTCAATTGACCTAGTTTGTACATGCCAATGTAGCTTTGACCGATAAAAATGATATTGATCCAATCGATCGTACTTATCATTCAAGATCACATGCTCAATATATTGCTAGACAAATCGGATATGAAGGCAGAATTAATTAGCATTCTTTCAAAAATAAGGCTGAAATATACCCAAGACTTATCAATAATAGAAAGCTAGTTAGTGTTGTTTACTCAAATATTGAGGGAGTTTCGGCTATGCCTAAATATTTAGAAACTCAGGATCTTTATTTGTTGGGAAAGAGAAAATGAAAAAGAGAATACCTTTTATATAAATTAAATCATTTGCATCAATGTGCCTATATTTTTAACACTAATTTTAAATTTTAGCCTTATGGGGTTTTGGGGTTTTGGGGTTTTGGGGAGATCGGAAGAGCACACGTCTG